GTATTATTACGGTTGTGGATGCTACTCACAAGAATTTTTGCCTCGATATTGCCTTAATTCACAAGCTTTTTTGTAAGCAATGATAAATAGTGGCTAGCAGTGGAATCCAGGACGTGCGTTTCGTCCTATTTGAGACTCGTATGCACATATGCCAATAACAGACTGATCAATTGCAGTGTTAAACCTCAATGGGAAGATACAAGCCAAACAATACCAAGTGAATCAAACTTCACCCCATTGCACAAGCAACTGGCTATCAGGACTCAGTAGCTGAGTGGATAACGCGGTGGCTTTTGAAGCGAATGGTACTGGGTTCGAGTCCCACAGTGAACATCAACTCTGAAATGCCAGTACATCTAGCTGACGAATCCCAAATAAGACGAAACGCGCTTCAAACTGGATTCCACTGCTAGCCACTATCCTCCATTGCTTATATAAATACAGAGTTGGTGGATAGAGTTCAAGCGCATACATCATTAACCATTATATCATAGGCTTATAAACACTATCAAATTTATATTATTTCATATGACGATGCATATACCTTAATTTATGCATGATACATACATATACTAATACTAATTGTGTTGAAGTATATAAATAAAATATTTCACTAATTACCAGATATTGATTTGTTTATTTATTTATTTCTTAACCTAATAACATGAAAAACATACCAAACTAGATGAGACGGCTCAGTAACAAGGAAAGTTTCTACCTTAATCTGCATGAAAAAGCATAAATAGTTCAAGGTTAATCATTATTACCATTATGTAATTGCTTTTAGTGTTTAATGTAAAGGCTAGACAGTCTGTAAAATACTGAAAACACTTGTCTTAGATTAATAAATAAACTATTAATTGAACTCCTATACAAAAGCAGAATGCATAGACTGCTTAAGTATGTGAAATAGAAAAAATTGTTAATGGAACTATGTACAAAAATTTATGGCTCAATATTACAGAAAACATATATCTACCTTATGAAATGATGTGTATATTTTGTACTGTTATATACAGTTATATAAAAACTTCATACAGTTTGAATGTAATTGCTATCACATACTGATGTCATCTAAACAACCATAGGAAATCATCGAAGATCGAAAACTGTTTCATTTTACACCCGAATGTATGTCCGTGAGATACGCATACGGTATAGAGACCGAAAACCTTCAGTCTTGGTGATAGATATTATGCCTTTAATTCAATGGCTTATACAGCACAGTTTTATTCAATACCGTTGAAAACTGAAAATTAAACTCTGGAATTGGTTGACTTTACAGTTCCCTTTCAGGGAATATTTTTTCAATCTCAATGAATACAAATTCACAGATAAAAAGATACATATTGCCTCCTAGATTATCCTTTGAGAAAATTCGATGTTAAGATTTTTAGCTGACTAATTCGATGGCAGGAGAAGTGGTGAGTCTTAAACTTAAAGTGTAGCAATTCTTTTAGGAGTTATTGATTTCGGTCATCACGTGAAAATACATTATCAGGATGAGACTTTGTACATGAGATTTGTCCATAGATAATTTAATGAAGAAAATCATGAATTGAACCTAAGTACATGCACTAGAACCACTGAATCGTAACAAACAACTATCAAATTCTCAATATAAATTGAATATATGACCCACTGTTGTCTGGAAATCGAAAGTGTTTACAATAATGTTCTACAATCCAGTTTCTTTTATTAGAGTTCACTCGACAATAGTAGAATGAGTATACGCGCTTATTTATTTACAAGACAATTTTTTTATTATTTGAATGTTGTAATTTGTTTAGTTGAAATTCTAATACGATCATAACTTTATTTAAATAAAATTTCATTATCAGTTAATTTAAACAAATGAAATCAATTGGGAATTTTCAAGCAAGAATTGAGTCAGGATATCGTGTTTTATGTATATTTCTGTCATTTATACTTACCTACTTATCTACCTAAATTGAAACAACAACAATCTGCTTGATTATTGTCAGAATGTCAAACTGATTTAGTAGGATTTTGACAACAGCAACAATATCACTACTATACAAAATATTGGAAAAAAGAAATTCAATAAGCGAAAAAGGTAAGCAGATTAATACTCTTCAATGACGCATAAATGATTCATTGATTTTTTTTTATTCATTTACTAGAATGTCATCGAATACAGACACACCGCCTGTCAAGGTCACATACATCTATCGTTTAATGATTTCCTCTTGTCATTATTCAAGGAAGTAGGACAATTTTCATTCCAACCAAACTAGGTACAGTTGCGTCTATTTATGGTATGGTCGAATGAGAGAAGGCGGGAGGTGACAGTAGCACCACGACAAATCTATGCCATCACAAAGATCTAAACAATTTAAAGTAAATACTATTTTTGGTATGTTAGAATATGTACTGAGTGTGAATTTCTGTACTTAGCTTTGAGTTATACCGTTTGAATGTAAACTAGTAATAACTAATTGATTGATCAAATCCAAATAATTGAAACAGGATTCAAACTTGTGACTTATTATTGTTGCAAAACAACTGTTCTGTTCAATGAACCATGATGTTAAAGGCAATCGATTCAAATTTAACGTCATCAGAAGTTACTAAAAACAATTTTATCATTTGCGAAGTACTTATCTCGATAAGTTAGCGTCAATTTAGCATAAAATTATTGAAAACCAAGGTTTAATTTCATGAATGTAAAGATTGCTAACAGATGATTTGTAATTACGACAAAACAATCGTATTCTTTCAACTGTTTTCTTCTCTTTCTCTCTTACTTGCTTTACCTACCAGTTAACGTTAGTTTATGATGTACGTCGACTGAAAAACATCTCATATAAAAAGTGTTCACAAAATCTACATAGAATTACTGATTTAATTAAATATTATTCTCCTAACCCGGGTAATATTCAATATTTACAATGAAATTTACCCAAACATAATTATTCCCCCCCCATAAAATTAGGTTTTTACATTTTATTACTTTCTGGAAAAAAAAGAGAAAAGAATAAGCAGGTACATTTTCTTTCTTTTATTCTTCTGAACAAAAAGCCGATGTGGAAGTAACAAAAAAAAACAAGCATAAACATAACTTGTTTTCACTAACAAGTAAGTAGTTCATAATGACAATTTACAATTAAGACATATTTATTCTACACTCTTTATACGGTATACTAGCTGACTAAGAAACAATATAATAAATCATTATATGCCAACTTAAATCAATCTTAATACAGAATAGTTATTACGCAACATTCCAGACTGATTTGTTAAATACATAAAAATCAACACTGAAATAAAAATCAATCATGAATAGTACATACATTGAAAAACATACTACTGTAATTCAGTCAAATATGATTATAGGAAAGAAATGATAATCCGAATAAATAATGAGTAGTATGAATTGATGTTGAGTTAACTAAAATTGTCCAGAAGAAAAAAATACTATCATAGAGAATAACTAAGTAAACTATGTATAATTGTAGGGCAAGCTATGATGAGTAGAGTGCTATCATATAATTATTTTACCAGGATGGCAGTTATTACGGAAAACGATGGATAATAATATATATCATGAATTAATTGAAGTTCGAAATGTGGTTTATTGGATTTTAAATCAGTTGTTGAAATGTAATACATTCACCAGGAGAAATCAAGGATTTAATTTCAATTCATGGCGTTAGTGTAGGTGTTAACTGGTGGGGAATTCCAGAATATGGCTTAAAAGAAAACAACTATATAATCAGTGTTCACTATATTTCCATAGTTCTCCAACATTAAAACCCCATATCAATTCTAACAATTATATATATATTTTGAAAGTAAATTCAAAAAGTTCGGTATGAGAACAATATCATATTGACCACCTCGAATTAGATAAACAAACATACTGGTTGATTGACATAATATACTTTAAAAAAATACACAGATTGTAACGACATTGCAATAAGAATGACAACAAAACAGCTGACTGAATCGGAAAGTTGTGGCAACATTGTATTTTCCACAGTTTACAGGATAATAATACCTTTATGATTTAACAAGCAAATTGACTTCAACTGGAGAACTGTTGGAAATCAGGTATCATTGAATAAATGTTTCATTTTAATTTCAGACATCTTAAAATACTTCATCCACAACCTTTAGTTCTTGTGATAAGTGTATCACCCCCAAATGCCCTGGTACGGCCGAGAGTGGGGAGAGTCCGCTCTCCTCTCGAAATGCTCTCACATGGCCACGCGTATACAGCCTCTGACAAGGAAGTCCTACTCACTGCCTTCTCGTGGCTGGGGTGTTGTTTACGAAAATAAGAGGACGAAAAGCGAATGTCCGGCGCTTTAACCGGATTTCAAATCAATGGTGCACATGGTCTCCAGTATCCTGTGGGAACAAATGGAGTATGAACCAATCGTTGGTCAACGGCTTCCATGGGACTGCATCTCCTTATGATGCTCCACTGCCTTGTGGATCAGACCTTCAGGTCGAAGGCTCGGGGAGTGGCCCCCCAAGAAAACCACCTGCTTCGGTGTGGGCACCCAGGCAGTATCACAGCCCTCACACATATCGAATGAGATTTATGTGGCGCATATGTATTTTGTGCCTGCCTGCACCGATATCTATGTGTTAAAATAAATAATAATAATAATCACCCCTAGACGACTGATTTGGAATTTAATGGTCGAATAACCTCTGGTTTTCAGTGGTAGTTGGTATTTGAAGAGTATGACGGTGCATCAGTGGAAGGAAATACAACAATGCAAAGCAATTACTTATTATGTAATTAGGATTGTCATCACTGATTAATCTGAAAAGTTATCTATAGTTCAAAAATATCATGAATTTCTTAATTATATAATCTTATTAAGTTAGTCAGTTGATTAATCTATTGAAATCTATCCTGTTTGAATTTTTAAGGACTGGATATGTAAGTTAAAGGAACTTATTAATACACAAAAAAGTGAGTAGACGGACAGAATTATTAATAATAAATAGTAAAAACAATTTACATTAGGTATAATTGAATCCAAGTCTGGAGTAGCATCTGGTCCAGCAGTGATAAAAATATTAGAATTCATTATTGTTTCAGATTTTCCAAGTGTAGAGAAATTATTTGGAATAGATGATAAGTCCGGTACACAAAAATAACCAGCCCATAGCATTCTAGGTCGTTTACAATGACCTTGACTGACTGATGAAGGATGTACGGTATCTATCAAAACATAAATAAATAATTTATTACAGCATTAAAATATGTCACTGAAGCGCAAAGTAAACTTTAAAAACATGACAAGAATACTCTTAATCAATAGATGCATCGGAGCTAGAAATGGAATCTAAGAGGCATACTTCATCTTGTTTGGGACTCATCAGCTGGATGTATGTGTATCCCAGTGTTGAAGTTCACACAGTATCAGAGATATCATATCTACCAGACAACTGAGTGGCTGTTTGGATTCAGTAGCTTAGTGAATAACCTGTTGAAAGTACAAAAGGAGAGTCAGTGAGTTCGAGTCCGATTGTGAGCATCATTCTGCAATGCAGGTATGTTTAACTTATGACTTCCAAGTAGAACGAAACTTACATTATGGATCCCATTACCAGCTACCATCCACATAATAATAATAATTGAAATGTTCTTTTTACAGTAAAAATAAATTTTTCATGAAGGTCAGAAATATTTTTTTATAAAATTCACTTAGAAGAATATTTCTAAATAGAAATAAGAAATAAATAGTAGTGAAAATGATGGAATATTTTCCAAATTGATGCATCAACTACCAATGGAACTATAATTTTCAAATTGTGAAGTAGACAAGGCAAACAAGCAAGTTGTAAAGGTCAAAAAAAGATGAAGTTATCTCAAATAACTATTTTAATACCAAGTTATAATTTTGAAAGAAAAGTCACTCTGTGAGAAGATTCCACATCAAATTCATGCAATTAGTTTAATATGACATTATTATAGACTAGTTATTATGCGCCAGGGTTTTATGTATGTGGTGATTAACAAGAATATGTGTATTTGCCATCTTATGGGGGCCAAGGGTTAGTTTCGTTTACTAACGATCCTAACTTTAACCAGACAGTGTGCCACAGTCAGCAGTATAGTTACTAAGTTATTAAGGCTACAACAAATAACCTGTTGTTGGACCGACATATTTACACCAATCAATCGTTGATTAGTGTAGTGCTTAACAGTGATCAAAGAACTTCATTACAAAAGAAAAACTTAGATGTAAAGTTTGTAGTGATAACTTTAAGTTCCAGTTGATTTTCAACACAGATTGTCATTAACTGGAGGAGGTGACCAATGAAAATAAAAGGTCAATGAATAACTGTATGATCATTTATAGACAGTAGTGAGAACAAATAAAGTGAAGTACATAAGTAATCTGATTTTATGACTGAATGGTTGTCGTTGAGATAGACCTTATTGTGTATAGGTTAGCGATACTTTATGAACGACTAAAACAGAGCAGATGTATTGATCAGTTAGAATAGCTTAATTTAAAATACTAGTAGATTTCTCTAAGCACAAAACCAGGTTATTATTGATAAAAATAAGAACGGCGACAAGTGATCACGATATAATAAAGATATATCCGTACAAACATAGCTTAGATGATAATAACCAGACTAAACAATAAACATCTATATACTATGTCTTCTACTCACTTTCACCACCACACACGCACACCCTGTCTTCAAACAAAAAAATAGTTCACTGACTAAAATGCCACCAAAATAAAACTAAAGAAAACAACGACATTAGCGGACCACCCATACAAGTGAACTTCGATTTAATATTAAAAAAAGGTACAGTCTTTTTTTTTAAAGAAGGTAAGTAACTTTAGTGTACTGTCAATAATGCTATGTACAGCTAGCTTTTTTGGATTAACAAGTTGAAGTAACTATACAATAGTAGTATACAGAGGATGAACTGAATGATGGACGTGACAATCCTATAAAAGTTATATTAAAAAATAATACGTCTGTTAATGGAACGATTATTGGTGCTTCCTAGCCACTACTTATAACCACGGTTATATCTACATTCCAGATAAAAGTACAGAAAAGGCAAGAAATGTGAAGTTAATTATATGTGGAAAATCGAGTGCATTTAGAGTTCAAAATGGTTTTATTCTTACGGAAACATATGAAACATAATAACGATGTAGGTAATTATCTAACCAAAATGTGACATGCAATCTTTCATTTTTTAGATGTCTCTTTGATAGCTGATTGAATGAAACGCTCCTAGGAGTTTTTTGGGTTATTAGAGACTCTTACAAGATATATATACTAATGAACAGAAACATGTAGTCATATATATATATATATATATATATATATATATATATATATATATATAAACAGTGTGGAAAGAAATGATTACTGCCCTGTACAAAATAATGATACTATAGTGTGTGCTATAGATGTCGACAGATATAAGTAGCATGTATCACCAATTGAAAGTGAAATGCCTGGCGGCAGAATATTAAAATGATGAAAGAGAAGATAACGAGAATTATTATTATGGGAACGAAGAAACGATCAAGTCTAAGACAATTGATTGATACTTTGCAAATGAAGTATTTGCTGTATGGTTCACAGATTTTACTAAGACGTTCTGTAATTTTGCATTCAAATACATTCGGTTGTCCCCACTTGTGTGTTCTCATTTACTACAATGCTGCTGTTATAGTAGTGTGTTTTAATTTTTTTCATTTAGTCATCACAAACATTGATTCAGTTAGGTTTTATCCCTCTCCTTCTCTTTTTCTCAATCTATCAACAATTTTGAATTCTATTTTATCACGCAATAATGAGTCAAATATCTGAGCTGAGAAAAAAAGAAAACATAAAGGAAGAAGACAACTACAGAAACTTTCAGCTATCCATACGAGAATAACTTTTAAGGCAAACACTACAAACAAAACAAAAGTAAAATATACTTAGAAGTAGTTATAAACAAAACAGAGAAAGTATGGAATGTATGGAATGAAATTTTACTGCGATAGAAAAAGGAAGGGAAATAGGAATAATACAACTTTTTGTGAGAAACATTATCACGGAAAATATTTTAACTTATGTAGAGAGGCAATTCGCACAGAATGCACAGATGCCAATAAGAGACTGATCAATTGCAGTCCTAACAATCAATGAGGAGATTCAAACATACAATACAATATGCAGAGTAGGATTAATCAAATGAGAAAAATGTGAATGGATAATCGTTGTTCCATTGAAAAAAAAGGGATTATTTTTAAAGCAATCAATTTATAAATATTATGTTTAACGAATTAACGCGTAGATTGAATATTAGTTAGTTGATGTCAAGAAATAAAATTATTGGCTGTTTAAAAAGATGAAAATCTACTGAATTTCAAATAGAATAGCATCAATTACGGAGTGATGGCTGGAACTTTCAATGCTTTTGACTTGATCACTAACATGATTAAATTTGTGTCGGCCAACATAACAACACTAGAAAAATAGATCTCTTGAACTGCAGCTCTACTTTAATCTCTCAAAATTCTAACATATTACAGCAATTCTTTCTTTACTGACAAAAGCAAACTGAAAAAGGAACCAAATAGTCAATTTATAGAAGGTACAACTATCTACTTCCATCTTGGATGTACTCATCTTTTGATTTATCTTCTGTTATGATCCAACAAGAGATCTAGAGAAATCATAAAGCATTAGCGTGAATGGTAACTTCTATATCCCTCAACGAAAAATACTAATTTTCTTCTGAATATTGATTGTAATGGCTGAGTCATTAAGCTTTAGATAAATGTACAGAAACCTATCTCCATAAACTATTGTAATATATGAAAATAATTAAATCAAATTACTTAAAATAATAGTGAACAAAGGCAGTAAATGTAGGTCGAAAAAAAAAAAACAATTTGAATGTCCAGTTCACTTTATCCTAAAATTATCCGCACTCATTATCTTAATTATCAACCGAATGATATATTATCGACCGAATTATGTACCATCGTACCGAAACATAAATTGGAATGAAAAGTGACTTTCAACTAACTCACTAACTAACTAGTTAATTAATTAACTATTTGTATGAAGGTTAATGATATTAACTGGCTACCCCAAACCAAAACAGAAAGCGCGGAACTCGCAAATAAAACCTACTGGTTGAAAACCAAATATCATATCCAGCAAACTAATTATCTATAGTATACGGAAATAAAATATGAAAACTGTCATTATATGAAAGTCATGTAGTTAAAAATTGCTTTTCATTGGATAAATATGCATTTCTTAGCCAATGAAAATCAACAAGAACTGGTAAACAACTAAACCACTATGGGTATAACGTAGAAACAACTTTATCATTTATCCACTAAAAGCTAACAGTGGAATCAAAGTACAAAAAACGTCTTTTGTGTTATGTCCCACTGTGTCATCACATGTATTTGTGTACGCACATATTTAAATGTTTTCAATCAGACCACAGCTTTAAGCTTTGCAATGTTATTTACAATAATAGCTATAAGATCTATAAAGCATTATTGTTTTATTGTAAGATTGAATAATGAGTGTACTTAGTATTTTGCACATTTTTTGAGATGAAAAGCTATAATGTCATTATGATCAGTTAGATGGTGATTATAATTTATCGTTGAAATAGTTATTTGCGAACAAAAATGGATTTTCGCATGAACAGATTAATCTTGACTCGATCAATGATCTATGGGCAACATATTCACCCACAAGATATGCAAGGTTTGAGTTTGATCAAGTGTAAGGTTACAGGTGTGTGTTGGATGAAATAATTATCTAAACGATTTCTTGGTTATTAATGGTTTTTTAGTTAATGTCTACTAGGTAGAAAAGTAATTTCACGCAGTGATTGCAACTATCAAATTATTTGTGTTTTACGTTAAAATGATCAATAAATAGTATGATATGAATACAACTTAAACTATAGATTCTAGTGTTTAAGTATTGGCTATATTTACTACTCTATAATTAAACAATCTTACGTAACAGTGAAACGTTCAAGGTAAACCTATGATTTCATGCACAGATAAAAATATCGTCATAATCATTATCTTAATATTATTAATGATATAAATGAAATATATCATTAAAACAACACCTAATTACATGTATATATCACAGATGCTCAAATTTATTTTAACTCCTTTATGTGTGCAGGCACGGACATATATGATGGAG